TGGCCAACTGCGTTCAAGTGATCCCTCTCTGACCGACTGAATCCAAGTGATTCCTCTCTGGCTAACTGCATCCAAGTGATCCCTCTCTGACCGACTGCATCCAAGTGATCCCTCTCTGGCTAACTGGATCAAAGTGATCCCTCTCTGGCCAACCACGTCAAAAGAATCGCTCTCTGGCCAACTACATCAAAATGATCCCTCTCTGGCCACCTATGTCAAAATGATCCCTCTCTGGCCACCTATGTCAAAATGATCCCTCTCTGGCCACCTACGTCAAAATGATCCCTCTCTGGCCACCTACGTCAAAATGATCCCTCTCCAGATAACTGCATCAAAGTAATTTTTTTTTTTTTTCAAAATTTTAGACCTTTTTTTAATTTATATCATAAAAAATAAAAAAAACCCAGTGGTGATCACATACCACCAAAAGAAAGCCCTATCTATGTGAGAAAAATGATATAAATTTGGGTACAGTGTTTCGTGACCACCCAATTCCCAATTAAAGTAGCTCAGTGCTGAATAGGAAAAAATGAAGGGGGTGAAGTCTTCCGGAGGTCAAGTGGTTGATAAACTGTTTTTTTCAGGATAAGAGAGATTTAGTATTTTTTGGTCCATGTGAGTACCGTGATGTCACTAGATGTTGCTTACATGTTTGGCCAAAAATGTGTTTGTTCTTGAACAGTGAAAGTTGGGGCTGGAGCAAGCGACTTTTTTATGATTGTCAGTGGAAGCTCCTTCTTCTCCTGTTGGCTCCCACATTGTACTTATTGAGCATTTCTCCTTCCCGATGACCACAGTCATATACTGTCCTATGAAGGAGTCAGAGGACCATGAGAGATGGTGGAACTCCCACCAACTGGTGTACCAGGAGCTGCTGCTCCTCTTCTTCACATTAGCTGAGATATTTGAGATCCAATTAACCAAAGAGTTTAGAGTCTCCCTATACCGAGCTCCATCTCCCAACCGTTGGAGTTAACTCAACACAGTCATGTACTGTCCTATGAAGGAGTCAGAGGCCCACGAAGGATGGCAGAACTCCCACCAACTGGTGTACCAGGAGCTGCTGCTCCTCTTCTTCACCTTAGCTGAGATATTTGAGATCCAATTAACCAAAGAGCTCCGAGTCTCCCTATACCGAGCTCCATCTCCCAACCTTTGGAGATAACACAGTCATATACTGTCCTATAATGGAGTCAGAGGCCCACGAGGGATGGCAGAACTCCCACCAACTGGTGTACCAGGAGCTGCTGCTCCTCTTCTTCACATTAGCTGAGATATTTGAGATCCAATTAACCAAAGAGTTTAGAGTCTCCCTATACCGAGCTCCATCTCCCAACCGTTGGAGTTAACTCAACACAGTCATGTACTGTCCTATGAAGGAGTCAGAGGCCCACGAAGGATGGCAGAACTCCCACCAACTGGTGTACCAGGAGCTGCTGCTCCTCTTCTTCACCTTAGCTGAGATATTTGAGATCCAATTAACCAAAGAGCTCCGAGTCTCCCTATACCGAGCTCCATCTCCCAACCTTTGGAGATAACACAGTCATATACTGTCCTATGATGGAGTCAGAGGCCCACGAGGGATGGCAGAACTCCCACCAACTGGTGTACCAGGAGCTGCTGCTCCTCTTCTTCACCTTAGCTGAGATATTTGAGATCCAATTAACCAAAGAGTTTAGAGTCTCCCTATACCGAGCTCCATCTCCCAACCGTTGGAGTTAACTCAACACAGTCATGTACTGTCCTATGAAGGAGTCAGAGGCCCACGAGGGATGGCAGAACTCCCACCAACTGGTGTACCAGGAGCTGCTGCTCCTCTTCTTCACCTTAGATGAGATATTTGAGATCCAATTAACCAAAGAGCTCGGAGTCTCCCTATACCGAGCTCCATCTCCCAACCTTTGGAGATAACACAGTCATATACTGTCCTATGATGGAGTCAGAGGCCCACGAGGGATGGCAGAACTCCCACCAACTGGTGTACCAGGAGCTGCTGCTCCTCTTCTTCACATTAGCTGAGATATTTGAGATCCAATTAACCAAAGAGTTTAGAGTCTCCCTATACCGAGCTCCATCTCCCAACCGTTGGAGTTAACTCAACACAGTCATGTACTGTCCTATGAAGGAGTCAGAGGCCCACGAGGGATGGCAGAACTCCCACCAACTGGTGTACCAGGAGCTGCTGCTCCTCTTCTTCACCTTAGCTGAGATATTTGAGATCCAATTAACCAAAGAGCTCCGAGTCTCCCTATACCGAGCTCCATCTCCCAACCTTTGGAGATAACACAGTCATATACTGTCCTATGAAGGAGTCAGAGGGCCATGAGAGATGGTGGAACTCCTACCAACTGGTGTACCAGGAGCTGCTGCTCCTCTTCTTCACATTAGCTGAGATATTTGAGATCCAATTAACCAAAGAGTTTAGAGTCTCCCTATACCGAGCTCCATCTCCCAACCGTTGGAGTTAACTCAACACAGTCATGTACTGTCCTATGAAGGAGTCAGAGGCCCACGAAGGATGGCAGAACTCCCACCAACTGGTGTACCAGGAGCTGCTGCTCCTCTTCTTCACCTTAGCTGAGATATTTGAGATCCAATTAACCAAAGAGCTCGGAGTCTCCCTATACCGAGCTCCATCTCCCAACCTTTGGAGATAACACAGTCATATACTGTCCTATGATGGAGTCAGAGGCCCACGAGGGATGGCAGAACTCCCACCAACTGGTGTACCAGGAGCTGCTGCTCCTCTTCTTCACCTTAGCTGAGATATTTGAGATCCAATTAACCAAAGAGTTTAGAGTCTCCCTATACCGAGCTCCATCTCCCAACCGTTGGAGTTAACTCAACACAGTCATGTACTGTCCTATGAAGGAGTCAGAGGCCCACGAGGGATGGCAGAACTCCCACCAACTGGTGTACCAGGAGCTGCTGCTCCTCTTCTTCACCTTAGATGAGATATTTGAGATCCAATTAACCAAAGAGCTCGGAGTCTCCCTATACCGAGCTCCATCTCCCAACCTTTGGAGATAACACAGTCATATACTGTCCTATGATGGAGTCAGAGGCCCACGAGGGATGGCAGAACTCCCACCAACTGGTGTACCAGGAGCTGCTGCTCCTCTTCTTCACATTAGCTGAGATATTTGAGATCCAATTAACCAAAGAGTTTAGAGTCTCCCTATACCGAGCTCCATCTCCCAACCGTTGGAGTTAACTCAACACAGTCATGTACTGTCCTATGAAGGAGTCAGAGGCCCACGAGGGATGGCAGAACTCCCACCAACTGGTGTACCAGGAGCTGCTGCTCCTCTTCTTCACCTTAGCTGAGATATTTGAGATCCAATTAACCAAAGAGCTCCGAGTCTCCCTATACCGAGCTCCATCTCCCAACCGTTGGAGTTAACTCAACACAGTCATGTACTGTCCTATGAAGGAGTCAGAGGCCCACGAGGGATGGCAGAACTCCCACCAACTGGTGTACCAGGAGCTGCTGCTCCTCTTCTTCACCTTAGCTGAGATATTTGAGATCCAATTAACCAAAGAGCTCCGAGTCTCCCTATACCGAGCTCCATCTCCCAACCTTTGGAGATAACACAGTCATGTACTGTCCTATGAAGGAGTCAGAGGCCCACGAGGGATGGCAGAACTCCCACCAACTGGGTGTACCAGGAGCTGCTGCTCCTCTTCTTCACCTTAGCTGAGATATTTGAGATCCAATTAACCAAAGAGCTCCGAGTCTCCCTATACCGAGCTCCATCTCCCAACCGTTGGAGATAACTCAACTGCGTCTTCATAAATCTTGTCTGGCACAGGAGTTGATGGTGCTTCTGGCTCGGGCCTTTGCCTGGAACATCTCCATGAAAGTCTTTTGTCACGGGTTTCAACTGGTGACCCAGCCACCCCAGCCCCTCTTCTTCAGGAGGCAGTTATGGGGTTTCCAGTTATAATTAAGTCGTAATATCTATCACTTGTCACCCTGTGCCGTGCGGCGAGTCCTCCACGAGTGTGTTTTACCTCCATTCCGCAGCTTGGGATGCAGCCCATTACACACTGAGAGTTCCCAGCACTGTGCAATCAATGCTTTAATTGATACTTCATGCAGTTAATGTATCCCAGAAATGAGTAATATCCTCTCCTCGTACTAGTTCTGCGGTGACACTGAGGTATGGCGTATTCGCTGTGTGTCTTCTCTGTGATCTGCCGCTTAATGCAGTGCTGCGAGTTTATCTTCGTCCCGGGATGTTTATCGATAGAGCGGCCTTTGTACTCCCTTCCAGAAAGTGACAAAACCCGGAGAGCGTCACTCGCCCCGTCACTTACCGATCGCCGGTCTGCCGTGTCCGCCGCAAGGAGTGCAGTTTGCTATCTCGCACGCTGTCCGTAAACCGGGTCGTATGGATTGCACAGCAGTGCTGAATTCATTAAAACTGGTTCAAGGGGACCTGTCATCCCACAGAAATGGCAATCGTTAGAGCAGCTCGAGGTCCATGTACATCATGTGAGCAGGCCAGTGCCGGCCCGGGGCCCAGAGTTCTGCCATCTCATAGGGAAGTGCAGCCGCCACTTCCGCCAGTATAGAGTCAGCGCAGTGCAATGCTGCAACATGGAGAAGATACGGCTTGCTTGCTGCGTCCAGATATCAGTGTGTATGGGAACCCCAAATATCAGGGTGTCATTGTTCTGGAACCCCAAATATCAGGGTGTCATTGTTCGGGGGCCCCAAATATCAGGGTGTCATTGTTCTGGGACCCCAAATATCAGGGTGTCATTGTTCTGGGGCCCCAAATATCAGGGTGCTATTGTTCTGGGATCTCAAATATCAGGTTGTCATTGTTCTGGGACCTCAAAAATCAGGGTGTCATTGTTCTGGGACCCCAAATATCAGGTTGTCATTGTTCTGGGACCTCAAGTGTCAGTGAGTCATTGTTCTGGGACCTCAAATATCAGGGTGCCATTGTTCTGGGACCTCAAATGTCAGTGTGTCATTGTTCTGGATCCCCAAGTGTCAGGGTGCCATTGTTCTGGGACCTCAAATGTCAGTGTGTCATTGTTCTGGGACCCCAAGTGTCAGTGTGTCATTGTTCTGGGACCCCCAAGTGTCAGGTTGTCATTGTTCTGGGACCCCCAAGTGTCAGGGTGTCATTGTTCTGGGACTCCAAGTATCAGTGTGTCATTGTTTTGGGACCCCAAGTGTCAGTGTGTCATTGTTCTGGGACCCCCAAGTGTCAGTGTGTCATTGTTCTGGGACCCCCAAGTGTCAGTGTGTCATTGTTCTGGACCCCCAAGTGTCAGTGTGTCATTGTTCTGGGACCCCCAAGTGTAAGGTTGTTATTGTTCTGGGACCCCCAAGTGTCAGTGTGTCATTGTTCTGGGACCCCCAAGTGTCAGTGTGTCATTGTTCTGGACCCCCAAGTGTCAGTGTGTCATTGTTCTGGGACCCCCAAGTGTAAGGTTGTTATTGTTCTGGGACCCCCAAGTGTCAGTGTGTCATTGTTCTGGGACCCCCAGTGTTGGTGTGTCATTGTTCTGGGACCCCCAGTGTCACTGTGTCCCTGTCAGGAGCCCCCTAGGAAATACATTGAAGAACGATCGGTTGAAGGTCGTCCCTGGGAATGCATTGTTGAATATGATGAATGTCTGTCTAGAATCGGCTGCCTACTGTCCTCACCCAGGGAGGATCTTCCTCGATTCTGGCCGTGTCTGCGGGGATGAACATTGACACGCGGACACGTGAGGTCTCCAGTCCGGAGTAACTTATATCCGACATATAAAACTGAACGCTGAGAGGCGCACGGCGTACACAGAGCCCACCATGACGTCCTCCCTCTCCGGTGACACCACTCCGCCATGATGCGGGGCCCCGAGATGAATCATTAGCGATCGCACTAATGAATAAACAGCACTGATAGGCCCACTGATGGATTTTGGACATTATTCCTGAATGCGGCTGTTTGCAGAGTTTTGGCATGTCACCGGCGGATGATGTAAGTCGCGCGTTCATTTAGCCAAGTGGGACTAATGGCTGATGACATCATGAGAGAAGAGAGATTATAGAAATGGATGGAAGATTCCCAGCCAGAGCCATCTGTCCTTCCTGAGAGGAGGGAGATGGATCTACACAGACATCACATCAGTGCTGAGACTGCGGGGGGCGCCCTCTGTGTGTGTCGGGGGGGGCCCTCTGTGTGTGTCAGGGTGCGGGGGGGCCCTCCATGTGTGTCAGGGTGCGGGGGGGGGGCACTCCGTGTGTGTCAGGGTGGGGGGGACCCTCTGTGTGTGTCGGGGGGAGGCCCCTCCGTGTGTGTGTCAGGATGGGGGGGCCCTCCGTGTGTGTCAGGGTGTGGGGGGGGCCCTCCATGTGTGTCGGGGGGGCCCTCCGTGTGTGTCGGGGGGGACCCTCTGTGTGTGTCAGGGTGCGGGGGGGGCTCTCCGTGTGTCTCGGGGGGGGGCCCCCCGTGTGTGTCAGGGTGGGGGGGGGGCCCCTCTGTGTGTGTCAGGGTGCAGGGGGGCCCTCTGTGTGTGTCAGGGTGCGGGGGGGCCCTCCGTGTGTGTCAGGGTGGGGGGGCCCTCCCTCTGTGTCAGGGTGGGGGGGGCCCTCTGTGTGTGTCAGGGTGGGGGAGGCCCTCTGTGTGTGTGTCGGGGGGGCCCCTCTGTGTGTGTCAGGGTGCGGGGGGGCCCTCCATGTGTGTCAGGGTGCGGGGGGGCCCTCCATGTGTGTCAGGGTGCGGGGGGGGGCCCTCTGTGTGTGTCAGGGTGCGGGGGGGCCCTCTGTGTGTGTCAGGGTGCGGGGGGGGCCCTCTGTGTGTGTCAGGGGGGGGCCCTCCGTGTGTGTCAGGGTGCAGAGGGGGCCTCTGTGTGTGTCAGGGTGGGCGCCTCTGTGTGTGTCAGGATGCGGGGGGGGGCCTCTGTGTGTGTCAGGGTGCAGAGGGGCCCTCTGTGTATGTCGGGGGGGGGGGCCCTCTGTGTGTTTCAGGGTGGGGGGGCTCTCTGTGTGTGTCAGGGTGCGGAGGACTGAGGAACTATAAGTCCCAGCATGCTCCACTAAGAGAGAAGACTTCCTCTGGAGCAGCCGGGGTGCACTTTCACAGATCAGCCCCTGAGGTAGCCTTTCACCTTGTGGCTGGCTACAAAGTTACAATGTACAGTCTGATCACTGGGGGAGGAGACTGAGGAAATGCTTCCTCCTCCTTCTGCAAAGTTACAATGTACAGTCTGATCACTGGGGGAGGGGAGACTGAGGAATCTTCTCCTCCTCCTTCTGCAAAATTACAGTGTACAGTCTGATCACTGGGGGAGGGGAGACTGAGGAAATGCCTCCTCCTCCTTCTACAAAGTTACAATGTACAGTCTGATCACTGGGGGAGGGAAGACTGAGGAAATGCTTCCTCCCCCTTCTACAAAGTTACAATGTACAGTCTGATCACGGGGGGAGGGGAGACTGAGGAAATGCTTCCTCCAGCCTGCAGCAGACTGATGCCCTCAATTCAGCCAAGGCAAAGTTGCTTGACTGAAGCTCAAGGCAGCTTTTTATTGATAAAAGGTGGAGGAGTTCAGAAAAATGTCAGTAATATTTTCAGTCAGATTTCTACTTTAAGGAGGGACAAAATCATCCCCCGCACCAATGCACCTCACCAGCCCAACCTGTTCACACAGCACAGGGTTCCAGATCCATGATGCACTCCACATTCTGAGCCCCTGTCTGCAGACTCCACCAATAATCAAGGTTTTCTCAGATCTGTTGCCTACTGCAGCCCATTGTTGCAGATCTGGTGCCCCTTGTGGCCTCATTGACCTCAGCTGGGCTTCAATGCCACCTTCAATGTTCCCATGTTGGGGGTTCAGAGATGGTCTTCAGCACTATAAAGAGTGTTTTTGGTACAACTCTAGACTTCCTGTCAAGACAAACAAACCTCTCTGTTCTCCTTTAACAAAATGTTTCCCCCTCAGAAGTGACACTGGCCAGAAGGACTTCGTCTTTCACACTATTCTCAGAAACTTCGGCAAGTTGTAGGACGTGAAAATTCCAGAAGGTCAGACCTTTCGGATGCCGCAAACCTTCATATCTGCCACCAAGAGTCCAACTGTTTCCACCAACAGGTCTTGTAGGACTCTTCGATCTTCTGCATAATAATCGGCAATTTCAGTAAATTTTTACTGAAAGTTTTTGAAGTTACTAAATTGTACAAACTGGTTATAGTTCCGTAACAGCGAACAATATCTTACAAAAAGGACCCAGACCCACTCACATGGACTGGATGAAAAACATCGCTGACTACCGGCCCCTAACCATCTGACATAGCTACCGAGAGTTGATGGATCTTTTGGAGCTCAAGGTGGTGAGGTCTGGTGATGATGACTGGTTCCTATTGGCTGGAGTGGTGTTGTAGTATATGATTCTGTGGGTAGAAACATGCGGGGAGAGGTCTGGGGATGATGATTGGTTCCTATTGGCTGCAGTGGTGTTGTACCGTATGGTTCTGTGGGTAGAAACATGCGGGGAGAGGTCTGGGGATGATGATTGGTTCCTATTGGCTGCAGTGGTGTTGTAGCGTATGGTTCTGTGGGTAGAAAAAACATGCGGGGAGAGGTCTGGGGATGATGACTGGTTCCTATTGGCTGGAGTGGTGTTGTAGCATATGATTCTGTGGGTAGAAACATGCGGGGGAGAGGTCTGGGGATGATGACTGGTTCCTATTGGCTGGAGTGGTGTTGTAGTATATGATTCTGTGGGTAGAAAACATGCGGGGAGAGGTCTGAAGATGATGATTGGTTCCTATTGGCTGGAGTGGGGTTGTAAGATATGGTTCTGTGGGTAAAAACATGTGGGGAGAGGTCTGGTGATGATGATTGGTTCCTATTGGCTGGAGTGGGGTTGTAGTATATGATTCTGTGGGTAGAAACATGCGGGGAGAGGTCTGAAGATGATGATTGGTTCCTATTGGCTGGAGTGGGGTTGTAGCGTATGGTTCTGTGGGTAGAAACATGCGGGGAGAGGTCTGGTGATGATGATTGGTTCCTATTGGCTGGAGTGGGGTTGTAGCATATGGTTCTGTGGGTAGAAACATGCGGGGAGAGGTCTGGGGATGATGCGGGGAGAGGTCTGGGGATGATGCGGGGAGAGGTCTGGGGAAGATGCGGGGAGAGATCTGGTGATGATGCGGGGAGAGGTCTGGGGATAATGCGGGGAGAGGTCTGGTGATGATGCGGGGAGAGGTCTGGGGATGATGCGGGGAGAGGTCTGGTGATGATAACTGGTTCCTATTGGCTGGAGTGGTGTTGTAGCGTATGGTTCTGTGGGTGGAAACATGCGGGGAGAGGTCTGGTGATGATGATTGGTTCCTATTGGCTGGAGTGGTGTTGTAGCGTATGGTTCTGTGGGTAGAAACATGCGGGGAGAGGTCTGGTGATGATGACTGGTTCCTATTGGCTGGAGTGGGGTTGTAGCATATGGTTCTGTGGGTAGAAACATGCGGGGAGAGGTCTGGTGATGATGACTGGTTCCTATTGGCTGGAGTGGGGTTGTAAGATATGGTTCTGTGGGTAGAAACATGCGGGGAGAGGTCTGGGGATGATGACTGGTTCCTATTGGCTGGAGTGGTGTTGTAGCGTATGGTTCTGTGGGTGGAAACATGCGGGGAGAGGTCTGGTGATGATGATTGGTTCCTATTGGCTGGAGTGGTGTTGTAGCATATGATTCTGTGGGTAGAAACATGCGGGGAGAGGTCTGGTGATGATGACTGGTTCCTATTGGCTGGAGTGGGGTTGTAAGATATGGTTCTGTGGGTAGAAACATGCGGGGAGAGGTCTGGGGATGATGACTGGTTCCTATTGGCTGGAGTGGTGTTGTAGCGTATGGTTCTGTGGGTAGAAACATGCGGGGAGAGGTCTGGTGATGATGATGCGGGGAGAGGTCTGGGGATGATGCGGGGAGAGGTCTGGGGAAGATGCGGGGAGAGATCTGGTGTTGATGCAGGGAAGAGGTCTGGGGATGATGCGGGGAGAGGTTTGGTGATGATGCGGGGAGAGGTCTGGGGAAGATGCGGGGAGAGATCTAATGATGATGCGGGGAGAGGTCTGGGGATAATGCGGGGAGAGGTTTGGTGATGATGCGGGGAGAGGTCTGGGGATGATGCGGGGAGAGGTCTGGTGATGATAACTGGTTCCTATTGGCTGGAGTGGTGTTGTAGCGTATGGTTCTGTGGGTAGAAACATGCGGGGAGAGGTCTGGTGATGATGCGGGGAGAGATCTGGGGATGATGCGGGGAGAGGTCTGGGGATGATGCGGGGAGAGGTCTGGTGATGATGCGGGGAGAGGTCTGGTGATGATGCGGGGAGAGGTCTGGGGATGATGCAGGGAGAGGTCTGGTGATGATGCGGGGAGAGGTCTGGTGATGATGCGGGGAGAGGTCTGGGAATGATGCGGGGAGAGGTCTGGTGATGATGCGGGGAGAGGTCTGGGGATGATGCGGGGAGAGGTCTGGTGATGATGCTGGGAGAGGTCTGGTGATGATGCTGGGAGAGGTCTGGTGATGATGCGGGGAGAGGTCTGGGAATGATGCGGGGAGAGGTT